CCGACCCCTACTCCAAGGTGTTTGTCACCCATTGCGAGGATTACGGAGTCGGTAGCCAGCTGTTGAAATGGAGCTGTGGGAACGTCGACCTTGTCGTCTGACCTGGCGTCCTTCTTATGAGCAACCCTTGCTGAAGTGGTCTTTGAGATGGAGCACACTTTGCAAAACGGGTTCTTAGGAAAATGCGACCGCAAATGCTCAGGGGACCTTGCTTGCTCCTTTAGCACACTCTCATGAGTTGGGTCACCATCTCCTAGAGAGTGACTTGGGGATGTCATGCTGTGGAGGGGCCTCCTCTGCCGCTAGCATATTCACGGATGCCTGGTCTACCTCACCTTCATCTGACGCTTGGCACGAACCGTCACAAAATGATACGGCATCGTTTTCGGCCGCGCTCATAGCAGCGGCTTCAATTGGCCAGAGGTGAGTTGAAGACTCTGCCAACTTGGGCTTTACCACCTCGTCATACTGAGGGACATATTCCACGCGCATTGCAAGGCACTTCAATCGTACATCTATTGAGTTCACTGGGAACATTTTCGCGTGGGTCCCACGCGCTGCTCTCACGCACGCGCTTGATCATGTTGCTGTTGAGAGCTCGCCGACCGATCAAGCGCCTTCCGGCTGCGGTGTCCCAAAGCCAGCTTAATGCGGTTATCCTCGGAAGCTGCCCGGAGCCTTGGTTCGGTACCGCACCAACTGACCGAAACAGCACCTTTTCCCTTGGATTTTTTCCTTTGTGAGTACTTCCCATCGTGTTTTACCGGGACTACAAGGGGAGGGTCTATCGAACGACATTGTGAGGCACGCGAACGGGGAACTAAACGTGTGAACGAACGAACGAACAGGGCAGCCCGGACTGCAGGTGGATGCTTCCTTTTCCTCCCTGATGTCGCGCTCGAGGACCGTGTTGCGCGGCCAGCGGTTGGGGAGGCTGGTCTCAGGAATGAGACCAACCTCTCAAGTTCTCTGGCCGCATCCATGTTTGTCAAACATGCTGGCGGGGCCTCAAGTGGCCCTTAGCCACACAAAATGACGGAAGACCGGCTCTGGAACACACGTCCCGCACGATGTGGCACGACTTGATACCCCCGACCCCTACTCCAAAGTGTTCGACACCCATTGCGGGGATTACGGAGTCGGTAGCCAGCTGTTGAAATGGAGCTGTGGGAACGTCGACCTTGTCGTCTGACCTGGCGTCCTTCTTATGAGCAACCCTTGCTGAAGTGGTCTTTGAGATGGAGCACACTTTGGGAAAATGCGACCGCAAATGCTCAGGGGACCTTGCTTGCTCCTTTAGCACACTCTCATGAGTTGGGTCACCATCTCCTAGAATGACTAGGCGAATGTCATGGGGTTCCCTTGAACTGGGGCACGTTGACCAGGTCCTGGGTTGATGCCAGAACCACACATTGGGTCGGGGACATTGCCCCTAGAAGCATTAACTTGCAAACATGCGGCAGCACCGACGACCCTTAGCGAGTCCGGCTGAGGTGAACCTGCGGTGATTGGGCCCTGACTTGAACTAGCCTGATCTTGTTCGCTGTTCCGGCTATCGTTGTGATCCCTTGCGAAGGCTCATGCGCGGGTAAAGGGGTTGTGCGGGCTTGTTAGGCCGCAACAACACGCTCGAGATCTGCAAGTCGTTGGTGCATCAAGGAATTTTGCTGCGACAACCCCCGAATGGCCTGGCTCTTGATTGGCGATGGTCTGATCTCTCTGGGAAGCTCCCTGTTGAGCCTCTCGCGCAATGCTTTGGACCTCGTTTTGCGCATCCAGCTGAGTAGCACTCGCAGCCTGACGGGCATCCTCAACATGGTGTATGGCTTCCTGTCGAGCTTGCTCGATGAGTTGTCTAGCTTGTGCTTCATTTTGCTGTGTGGTGAACCGTGCTTGTGCTTCGCTCTGTTGTGCTGTGGCTACCGCTTGGTTGCGCTTGTGAAGCCAACTGAGCTGCCTGCAACCTCATGTCAGTGACCTCCCTAACGGCCTGCTCCCTGACCCGCCTGATTCTGATCAGCTGGTTCGCTTGAGCGACGAGGTCGGATGCACCTGTGGGCCTGTTGTGTTGCAGCTCCAGCAACGAATGCTGCGGCTGGCATACTGGACAGCGGGTCCGGGTCAGGTGAATCTTGTGGAAACGCTATTGAAGGGGGCTCTGTAGACAAGGGTTCCGGCGCGATTGGTCCGCTACCTGGTGTGGAAGAGGGCCGTGTCTGGGCAGCACGCTGTGGTGTGGAAGTGCGTATCGTGGACATAGCAGCGGATATCATGGCTAAGTCTGGCTCCTCACCCTCAAAATCCCTATTTGGGGTTGATCTGGAGCGTGGTTCAGATGGTGGAGAAAGAACTGTTGCCGTCATGACTCAAACCCGCACGAATGCCGCACTTTTGAGAATTGCCGGGCCTGCTCCGCCGCAACACCGTACTTGTGCCTTAGCTGAGCAGTGAGAGCCTTTCCCACAAAAGACAGGATCAGCAACTTGACCGGTGCGCAATCCCGCAAAGCCTGTGCGATGTCCCTGTGGATGAAAGGGCCCTCTTGGCCCACGTCCAACACGCCGTGCCAATCCAATGCAATTGTAAGCTGCTTGGGCGGTAAACTTCTCACGACAGGAGGAGGCACAGGCGGTGGCCTCCTCGGCAGCGACCTTGGACAGGATGATGCAGCAGGGGCAGCGCTTGCAGCAGCTGCTTTAGCGACCTGCGGAGACGGGGACTTTATTGGACAGTCGTGCTGTTGTGTGGCCTGGATTTGCTCCTTGCCCCCCCTCCCGAACGATACAACATTTGTGGGTACAGTTCGAAGTGGAGCCACAGTCAGCCGAAGCACTTACATCGGGTCGAGCAGCCCTTGTCCGGAATCGGTACGAGGCGGAGATCCACGACAAGCCGATCATCCTGCCTAGCAGACGTGTCGTCGTCCAGCCCCAACCCGAAACTCGGCCGAATACAACTTCAACACCTAGCATTGTGTTTGGTGCACGGCCGGCGGAACCACACATTCCCCCCGTTCGAGGCCTGCATCCCGAGCTTGTGTGACACAAAGTGCATTTGACTTCAAGGCACCTCCAAGAGGATTGTCAAAGTGCGGACCGTGAACTGGAGATCCTTGTTGGAGGGTCTCGCCACGTTTCGTCGGCGACTGTATGGATCAGCTGCTCGTATGGATCGACCCAAGGCGTTCGGTGCGATCCTCGCCGGTGGTTCACGGCCTCTAGATGCTTCCCTGATAAGAACCCACGTCCCTTGCTCGTCAAAACGTGTCACAGGATATGCGCTGCTCTTAGGGGCCAATACAACACGTCGAGTGATGAGAGAAGTCCGTGATGGCCTACTCTCCTGCACAAGCGCATGTTCAACACTCCAGGCTCTCCGACTTTCTGGCGCAGGTGAATCCGGTCTCGAAGGAATTGGCTGTCTCCTGATCCTTGGCAACATCCCACGAAGCGTTTCCTGTGCCGCGTTTCGTGCGGCTTGCCGCTCTTCTGCATATAGGCGATGCTGTTGGTGTGGAGGGCTGCCGGTGGCTGCGGCCACGCTGCTTCTCTGGCTTAATCCTCTCCGACACCTACCGCGCTGCGGTTGCAACAGCAAGCTCAAGGCGTCGGCGGTAATCAACGTCTGACTGTTCGATCACCTCAGGCTTCAATCGAAGTACCACAAGACCAGTGGTCCAGCGTCGCCTGAACAATGCTTCGACCTGCTCCTTGCTGGCGTCTGGAAACTTCACCCAACAAAAACGTCGTCCCTGCTGCTTATACTAATCCTCAATCATTTGCTGGAGAGTGTTGCGCAGGCGAGCACGAGGCCGCGGGTGGGGCCCTCTTCCATGTGCGACCGAGAACCGGTCGCAGCCACAGAAAGGATCGTTTACCCAAAAGAGCGTTATGGCTGAAAACCACTCAAAAGAAAGGGAAACACAGTTTTCGCAACAGGGGGGGGGGGAAATCCGCGACCCCCTCCGTGACTGCGACCTCTCCCTTAAATTGGGGCAACGTGCGCGCAGAAGCGCGCCCTTTTCTTGAGCCAAATGGTAACGCATGACATAACGATTTCATGCGACCACCTGTTTTTAACATGCAACTGCACAGTGAACCTCTGGGTCATACATGTCATCGTGATTATTGACTTCATCATGAACAACAGCAGCAGCAGCAGCAGCAGCAGCAGCAGCAGCAGCAGCAGCAGCAGCAACAACAACAACAACAACAACAACAACAACAACAACAACAACAACAACAACAACAACAACAACAACACACAAACAACACCAACAACCAACACCAACACCAACACACAACAACAACAACAACAACAACAACAACAACAACAACAACAACAACAACAACAACAACAACAACAACAACAACAACAACAACAACAACAACAACAACAACAACAACAACAACAACAACAACAACAACAACAACAACAACAACAACAACAACAGCAACAGCAACAGCAACAGCAACAGCAACAGCAACAGCAACAGCAACAGCAACAGCAACAGCAACAGCAACAGCAACAGCAGCAGCAGCAGCAGCAGCAGCAGCAACAGCAACAGCAACAGCAACAGCAACAGCAACAGCAAAGCAGCAGCAGCAGCAGCGGCGGCGACAAGGAGGAATGGGAGGAGGAGAGGAGGAGGAGGAGGAGGAGGAGGAGGAGAAGGAGGGGGAGGACGACAAGAGCGGCAAACAGCAGTACCAGCAGCATCAGTAACTGCATCCCTGACAATCCAGACATTTTCGCTCAACACTTTTTCCTTGCAACACACCCGAGCCAAGAAAACGAAGGAGGCAGGAAAAACCCACCGAATTGGTGAGGCACAAGCCCAGCACTCCCTATGTGTGACATGGTTCAGAACGAAACGGATCCAACACATGTCTGGTAACCCCACCATTGTGCTGGAGGTCGGGGCAAATCCTGACTCAACCTGAAAGTCGAAAAGGGTACCGAGACCGGCCCGTCGAGCCCAGCTTCCCTTGGCTGAGCCAGCCTGGCAAATGTGACCTAGGCTTCCCTCGCTGAAGGCAAGACCTCAATTCGCGAAATCGACAGCATCCAAAATCCAAACAAACACTCCTTCTTTACCTATGTTCCCCACCCAAACTCACAATACCTCACTTGGGCTAAACGCAACCCCGTCCCACAACGATGCCTCAAATACGCGTGATCTGGCCGACGAATTGGATCTCATTTATGTTCTGGCACCAGCAATTCAAACAAAGTATAAACAGAACAAGCCCCAGAAATACCTGGCCAATAAGACTCTGGATTGAAAGTGCAACCTGGGGGTGTCTTTTCAGCGGCCGGGACTGAGGCTGGGCAATTCAGCTGGTGTAAGCATGTTTAAACACCGATCGTATGCAAACAATCCAAACCCAGTCACCCAAAATGGGCATTCTCAAAACAAATACGACAACCTTACAACACAGGCAGTTCCCTTTTTGGCCAAAATGAAGCATGTGGGCCAAAGCGGCTGGCGAGATTGAAGCGGCGCAGGCGGGGGTTTCGCAGCAGGAGTTGTTTTAAGCGCGTGGCGTCCAACGAGCTGAAGCTCTGAGTTCTGATTGCAACATCTTGGAGGCTCGAGATCTGCGCGGTCGCCAACTCCTTGACACATGAAGATACCGTGTGCGATAAGGCCATCGTGAAAAAGGGGAGTTTGTCATGTCTACACAGCATCACACAGCGGGCAACCGGTTGTCACCGCCAGGGGCCTGGAGAAGCTCCATTACCCGTCCTGTGTTGGATTCCTTTTGTTTCCTTTTGGGACTTGGGCATTGTTGCGTAGAGGTCTGGAACAAATGGCAATCGACCCTTGCCATCTTGGTTTCCTTTTCGGAAAGTAGCAAACTTCGAACGCGTAGACGTCTCAATTGTCACTTACCACATTTTCAAGCGATTAATATCTGTGTTAAGCAACGCACGGGGCCCCTCTTGCTCAAGGAAGGGGGCGTTTGGACCGCCAATCTGTTGCTCTTGGTCTCACATGCAAGGTGGCACACCACCAAAGTAAAAAGAGCGACTGCTGTCCTCCAAAAATGTCTCCGAAAGAGTCGGCAACCGCAGCTTCTCCAGTGGCACAGCGGACAGCAGCTTGGCCAGAGCCAAGCCTCCGCCTTGCTATGGCTTGTCGCAACCTGTTTCCAGCGGATCGTAGTTACGTAACGAGTAGGTTACCAGCAGGTTCCCCACTGCAGAGAAATCAGATCAGGCCGAAGGTTTTCCTTGCGTTGAGAAAGCTAATGCTAGGGCTATCTATTTTCAGCCGACCGGCTCAAGCGGCGCCTTGGCCACCGAATGCGCTGGTAATAAACGGGGTTTATAAACATTCTTGCCTGGGTTTACAACCACTCATAACCCAACAAAGGTGGCGAAGTAGAAACAATAACGTGAGCCGCATTGTCTGATATCTGAAGCCTCTTGCAAAACCCCTTCAACTTGGCACATTCACCTACACTCCCAGCCAAGCCCTAAGTCTACACCTTTTGGATGAGAGCAACCGCCATGTTGCCGCTTTCGGGCCCCCCTCGCGCCTTTGGATTGCCCCAGTGGGTTTTCCGTCAAATCCTTGGCCGTACACGACTGTCTTGGCGCAGCTCCCTTGACAACCTCCTGCCTGGGTGCAAAGCGTCTAAAAAGCGTCTGACCATGTACAGACAATGAGCATGAGATTGCTTTTTCCAATCCGTAACTTTGCCAAAAGCTGCTCCTCGGCTGGCACCATCCAGAATCAACACTTAAATGGGCAAATGGTTTGGGGAAAGCATGCCCTTGGCTATTGTTTGTCGGTCAACGGCTTTTGTGCTAAACACAGCAGACGTCGGCAGCCGAGCCAAATAATCCTTCCAGGGCCTGGCGTGAATTACTTTCACGCCTTTAGCTAGTTGCGCATGCTTCTTCTCAGCCGTTTCCCAGCAAGAAGTTGCTCAGTTTCCCGGTTATGGATCCATTCCGATGAGGTGCCAAATGCAAATAGAGGTCGAAGACGAAATATGTATGTAAGCAGTGTGTGGTTCCCAATGGAAACACATGAGCGCACGTATCACAATTATGACAACACCAGGCCTTGAGCCAACGGCAATGGATGATCGCCCATGAGTGGATCTGTGGAATCAACAGAACACAGCAAGAAACAAAACAACTTTCCACCGTGCCGCTACTGGTTCCTATGAGGAATCTTGCCACAGGAGCGATTTCATCACTTGGCTCAGAAGACCTGGGTACGTGGAGTAGCGCAATGATAGCGCGAAAATTGGCGCCGTAGCGTGGCCAATCTAAACAGTTTATTGTTTCGAAGGGTTACGGTTCTGCGCGGCATCATTTACAGTCGCATCTTGGTTGAGTCGAGGCCAAGATATGCACACGAATTGAAACTTGAAAGATTTTGAATAATTAATCCTACGATCTTGGTGAGAAGCGCCGGGATATCCGGAGCAAATAATTACTGAAATAGTCAGAGAATAAGATTGCATTGAATGAACTTCATGCATAGGGACACCTTATGCCACTATGATTGCGGATCATCATGTGGTTATGGTGATGTAAACCCCCCTGTCTCATCATCGCGTTGGCGCTTGCGGCAGCCGCTTGCGCTGGATCTGTTCTTCGGATCTGGCCGGATTCTCGGACGTGGAATCTGCGCTCACCAACAATGGGCGGCGCCAGTCCGAGTCGTTCCTTCCCAAGAGGAGCGTACCATTGTCGAGCAATTTGCATCGCTCGCGAACTAACAGTGTAATCTGGATATACAGTCGATTTCTATACAGTCGATTTCTTCTGCTTCTGGATGTAAGGGTTCGTTTCGGCTCTTGAATCTGCAGGGCCTGGGCTCAGTGGAGCACGCGAAGTACCAAGCAATCGAGGACACTGATGGGCGTCGGTCTCGAGTGCGCCTTTGGTGCCGTGTTTCAAGGATGCTTCAAGGATCCAGGACGAGTCTCTTGCAGCGCACTCTGATGAGTTGAGCGGGCCTTCTGAAGCGCCGAAATCTGCGGATGTGCGATCAACTGTTTCCTGCCGAGTCTTGCCGGCGCGGAATTTGCATCTCCTGTCAGGAAACCGACCATGGGTTGGAATCCTCAGATCACGAATCTTATCGTGCTGCTTGGTTACGGTGTTGCACGAGGATGTAGAATTGCATTCATAGTGGTACACTCCACTGTCAAAGTCCGGATCTATGTACATAGGTTCAGTGTGTCCTCGCGCTCGACGTAGAGGATATTGCCGCGTTGGAAGATGAGACACCTGGAATCTTGCAGGGGTGGCTTCACAGTTTGTGTTTTGCGTTTGTGCCTTGCGGATATCAATTCCCTTGTATCCAGCCTTTATGGCTGGACGATCTCACTATTTCATCTGCCTCCTGTGGATTGTTCCGGTTACTGCCCAGAAGCATGAAATCTTCCACAGCTCCCTGTTTTCGGTCGCCTGCGCCTCTCTCGAGGTTGCCAAGAATTCTCGATAGGCCTTCATCTGTGCTGATCGTGGACTTCAAGTTGCGTAAAGCCTTGAAAACCCTTCTTGGATATCCACACTCGGGCTGGTTAGTGCTGAAATCTTCTATGTAGGAGTCTCGGTGTTCTTCTGCTGATAATCGTATTTTGCTGAATCGTCTTCCGCCTTGATGAGGCCCTCAGGTTTCTTCACAGCAACGATCGCTGTTTGCTGACCTTGCGTCTTTGATGCACTTCATTTCTAGCCCGTGGTTCTGTGATCGAAGCGCTCCTGAGCTCGGCAAACTCTCTGCGGAGCTCGCTGTGGCGCCATGCGAATGTGGCTTGAGCTCGGCGAACCCTTTGCGGAGATTGTGCGCGTCGAAGCGCCCTCGCTGTGGCGCCGTGCGAATTTGTCTTGCTCGCGGTGAAACCTGTGCGTAGATCCTGCGTGTCGAAGCGCTCTCGCTGCGGCGCGAGTTGGTCTTGAGCTCGGTGAACCCTCCGCGTCGGAGCGCTCTCGCTGTGGTGCCGTGTGAATTTGTTTCGCCGGCGGTGAACCCTTTGCGTAGATCCTGCTTGTCGCATTGCTGTGGCGCCGTGCGAATTCGTCTTGCTCTCGGCGACCATCTGTCGCTGTGGCGCCTTTCGATTTTTCTGTTATCCTTTGCTTGCAAAGTGGTGTTTGAAAGTTGTCTTGTGCTTCGCGCGTCTGCTTTCGGGATCGCGCATTGTCTCGCGTTCCATGCGCCTGGTCCGCGGCAGCTCCGGCTTGAAAATCGCAATTTTTCAGTGCGAAAGTAGCACACCCAGAGCTGCGGCTGCAACATCGCAACTTCTAAGCACAAAAGCAGTACGTGCAGTGCGCTTCCGCAGCTCCAGCACAGAGCATTTCCAGCGGCGCGGCTGCGAAATCGCAAGTTGTAAGTACAAAAGTAGTACTTAGCCGGCTGGGGATTAGATATCTCTTATAAGTCATTGTAAGAAGTAGCAGCGGGCTTATAAGGGTTAGAAAATCTGGTTTAGGAGGTGGTTTAGGCAAGGGTTTAGCTAAAGTTTAGCTAAACCAGCTAAACCTGTTAAGGTTTTTTCTTTCAAACTACAGCGCCTGTGTGCAACTTGTGCGACATCAAGCAAAGCCGCAGCGGGCAGTCCGCGCGGCCCCAAAGACGCAGCTGATCTTTTTTCTCCTTTCTCTTTTGTGGTTCCACAGCTCGGATCAGAGCGCCCATCTGTTTTGACATTGTTTGTTAGATTCATATTTTTCAAGTTTTTTCAGAACCTCTGAATTTTGCAGATTTTTCAGATTCAGATTTTTCAGATTTTTCAGATTCTGACAAAATCTGAAAAATCTGAATCTGAATATTTAATAAAAGAAAGTGATGAAGATTCAGATTTTCAGAATCTGAAAAATCTGAAAAATCTGAATCTGAAAAAATCTGAAAAAATCAGATTCTGAAAAAACTGAAAAATCTGAATCTGAAAAAACCTGAAAAAATCAGATTCCGAAAAAACTGAAAATCTGAAAAATCTGAATCTGAATATGTAAGTAAAAAAGTGATGAAGATTCAGATTTTCAAAATCTGAAAGATCTGAAAAATTCAGATTCTGAAAAAATCTGGAAAATCTGAATCTGAAAAATCTGCAAACTTCAAATTCGGAAAAATCTGAATCTGATATCAAATCTGAGCACTTGCGTCCGCAAGGCGGCTCATGCATCATACTCGGCTGCGGCTTGCGCGGGTGCCGCGCGGGCTCACGCCCGCGGCGGCATGCGCAGGGGCGAAAAAAACTGAAAGGTAAATGATTCGGCTTCCCTTTTGCATGCTGCATGACTCGGCAGTCTTTGCATGCTCGAAGAAAGCTAAGTCTGGTAAGGGTATCCAAAAGCTAACCCCGCTAAACCTTATAAGGGTTGCGACCATGTTTGCTAAGTGTTTGGCTTGGGGTTTACAACGGGGGGTTATAAAGCGTGTCATATCTCCTATAATCCTTAGATAGATTCTGGTAAACCTTAGAAACGACTTATTAACCTTACATAGGTTTGACCAACTAATCTCGTTTGCCAAGGAGTTTGGCAGCCTTATAACCCAACTTAGCCGAGATACTAAACGTTTATAACCTGGTTAACATTAGCCAGCCGGCTAAGTAGGCGAAGTAGCAGGCTGAAAGTTCGCAAGTTTTGAGTACGAAAGTAGTACGTGAAGAACATTTCCATAGGCGCGGCTGCGAAATCGCAAGTTGTAAGTACAAACGTAGTACGCGAAGCGCACTCCCGCGAGCATGCTGAATGTCAATGTCATCAGCTACATGGGATTCGATGCGGCTATACTGGAGGGATTGGGGCAGGCCTACATAATCGATGCGTCGTGGCTTAAGCCGTTCACAACAACCCAGAAACGTATTGGGACCCCCGTAGTGGTACTCACTAAGAGTCAAAGGCAGAAACAGGCCATGCCTCTCAAGGAAATTGCCAAGTATCATGGCATGGGGGGTATCATCCTGACCTTGATGGATTCCAATAGCCGAGGGAAATTCTTGATGAGTTGCAATCCCAAGAGTAGTATTAGCATCGGCTAACAAAAAGAGCGGCCAGCTTGGGTCATACGGCATGATAGCCTTTGCAATAGCATCCCAATGTGGTACACAGTGTCCTCAACGTCTTGGATGGGCGCATGAGTTACTACTATGAGGGCCTTAAAATGCTCAGCCTTAACTCTGACAATCAGATGGTGCGGTGTCGAAAGCACTACACGGAATTGTCAGCCCGGAAGACGAGCTCACGCCCATCAGACGTCTGCCCATATGGCAGGTTGAGACTCACCCACAAGCCGACTCCTCCCTGCCCATGATGGGCAGCAGTGTGGATCCGGAGCCATCCATTGACACTGATGCAGCGCTCATGCCTAGAACGTGTTTCCTGCAGTCCAACAACATGCAATTGTGCATCGCGAAATTGCTGCATTAACCACTCTTCTCTTGGGTTGGTGGGGGGTTCAGGCCTGGGCGCATGCTTCTTGCTAGCTTTTTGGAAAAAGGCTGGCTTGAGCGTTGCAACATTGGCTGTGGCCATGCGCAAACTGACACTCGGCTGGTCATCACGTGAGTGATGCAGGCTGTGCGTAGCGGGATGTGCTC